TCTGTAGAAGTAGATTCTGCGCAATCTTCTTGAGTATACCGAGTAAAGCGTTCAAGGTCCTGTGATAGCGCGGTGGATAGTAAGGCTGTACCGTGTCCGTGCACCTTGTGCGCGGATTCGGCTTGTGCGCACCCGGAACCTCAAACCGCGTCTAAACACCAAACTTCAACGCACGATAACTCCACCACTATGGCTCCAATTGATGATGCGATTGCAGATTTAGATTCGCGTGATCCAGGAGAAAAACTTAGTATTACAGAAGTTGCGCGAAAGTGGGGCGTCGTGCGCTCAACGCTGACTCGGCGCTGGAGGCAGCAGACAAGCTCTAAGAGAGAGGGATACAACCAGCAGCAAGCTCTCAGCCCACAACAGGAGCTAGAGCTGGTGCGATATATCACTAAGCTTACTAAGAGAGGCCTACCTCCTACGCGAGAGATGATCCAGAATTTCTCATCAGCAGTAGCTCATCGGCAGCTCAGCGAGAGCTGGGTTTCTCGCTTCATCAATCGATACCCGGACAAGCTCATCTCAAAGTGGACCACCGCCATGGACCGTTCGCGCTACCTAGCTGATTCTGAAGCAAAGTATAAGCTCTACTTTGAGCTACTCTATCAGAAGATTACTGAGTATCAGCTTGAAGCTCGAGATATATACAATATGGATGAGAAGGGCTTCATGATTGGTATCGTTGGGAGAGGTAAGAGAGTCTTCAGCAAGCGTCAATGGGATAAGAAAGAGGTTCGGGCATCATCTCAAGATGGCTCACGCAAGTTTATCACAGTCCTAGCTTGCTGCTGCGCTGATGGGAGCTCGTTGCCGCCAGGGCTCATCTACGCATCGGCTGCTGGAGCTATCAGATCCAGCTGGGTGGACGATATCAAAGCTGGAACACATGAGGTCTTTATCACATCAACTCCATCAGGCTGGTCAAATGATGACGTAGGGCTCTCTTGGGTTGAGCAGGTGTTTGATCGCTATACGAAGCAGCGATCAGGTAGATGGAGATTACTTATCCTTGATGGCCACGGATCTCATCTCACGATGAATTTTATTAGCTATTGCGATCGCTATCGAATCCTATTAATGATCCTTCCACCTCATTCAACTCAAACGCTCCAACCGCTCGATGTATCGCTCTTCCATCCGCTCGCCCAAGCTTACTCAGCTGAGCTCACCCAGCACCTCTATAGAGCTCAAGGACTCGTATCTATCGCCAAGGGAGACTTTTTTCCAATATTCTGGAGAGCTTGGCAAGCAGCGTTTAAGCAATCAACTATAGAAACCGCGTTTGCAGCTACTGGTATATGGCCAGCTGATCCGAGTAGAATCCTCCAGAGATTCGCGAAAACACCAGAATCTGATCGCAGCTCGCCATCTACGCTCTCAGATAGCGACTGGCGAAAACTTGATCGATTAGTGCGAGCTGCAGTTAACGATAATAATCAATATGAGGCTCGAAAGCTGCGCTCTAGCGTTCACCACCTATCTGTTCAAAATGAGCTACTACGCGACGAGATCAAAGGACTTAAATCAGCTCTTCTATACAAAGAGAAGCACAAAGGTAAGGGTAAAGCTCTTGATCTTCAACAGCGCCAAGAGTATCACGGTGGTGCTGTCTTCTGGTCGCCTCGCAAGATCCGCGAAGCTCAGGCTCGAGAAGCAGTACGTAAGCGCGATGAGGTGGAGCAGAAACTTCAGAAGGCACAGGATAAACAGCAGCGTAAGGAGCTTCAACTACAGCGTCAAGTTGAGCTTGAGCAGAAGCGCGCTGATCGATTGAGACTTAAGGAGATGCGCGATGCTGAGCGAGCTGAGAAAGCAGCTGAACGCGCGCATCAAATTGAAGCTCGCAACGCCCAAAAAGCTCAACACCAAGCTCAAAAACGATCGCGTACAGCCTCACGAGCGCCTATCTCAAAGAACAAGCGTCAAAAACGATTAGTGGATGATAGAGCTGGCGATAGAGCTGCACCTGCTGCATCATCTATCCCGCCAAGGATCACGTCGCGCGGCCGCAGCGTCAACCTCCCGCAAAAATTCAGATAATACAAATTGATACCAAACATCTAATTACTGCAATACTATGTTTTTATATATATTAAGCTATTGTGTGGTGTTGTAGAGCTTCAATTTGAGATCGCGATAATAGTGTTGGGGTGCGCACAAGCCGAATCCGCGCACAAGGTGCACGGACACGGTAGTGAGATGGTGGCTCGTGAGCTTTGTATATGGATCGACAAGTTAACGAACATTATACGCCACCCACATAGCTAGCGTACGGTCCGTTGTTATAGCACCCTCACGATACTTAGAGCTACTGTTTTGAAGTATCAATTCCCACTTTCTTAAGGCCTTGATGTTATAGTTACTATCGTCAGCGTTAATATGTTGCCAGCGCGTAACATCGCGCTGCGTTGTAATACTAGCTGCTATACGCTTAGTATACTTACGGCCAAAGTTTCGTATAGTTAAGAAGATACGTCTCCATTTATTGAAAATAA